CATAAATGCGATTGCAATCTTTTGCATGGCTAGTTCGACAATGGAGCGAAAGCGCACGCGCGCATATCCACTACTACGCGAGATTACCAATTTTCATAATTTGGTTGTTTTGGAGAAAGAGCTGTTCGAGATGACGGCAGTAGACGTCAAGGTTCTCTATTTTCTCGAGATCGTACTGATGCAACGTAACTTCCTTCAGAGTCGAGAGCTCTCCATCATTGTGCTCAGCTCGCTTTCGCAGGAGCTCTTGATCGACTGGTTGGATGCAGCCGCGATTGTGATCGCGTCATGATATCGAGCCACGGACGACTGTCAGTCTGGTTGCCTCGCTGCCGGATGGGCAGTTTTCCAATTTCCCTGCGACAGGATTGACGAGCGAGCAAGCTCAGCTTACTTCTCTGCACCATCTCGTCCGATTCCAGGTAGGCGTCGCGTCCGAGGTCGAAATGCAGCCAGGATGGTTTGGCCTCGCTCGCCGGCAGATCACTTCACCCGTCGGCAGATCACTTCACCCGCCGGCAGACCGATCGCTGGCTCGGCATTTCCCGCCAACTGCTGCACGTGACAGCTGCTCCAAGGTTTCTCTGCGAGCCTGTCGCTGATCATCGTCTGCATCTCGCATCGACCGGCCGCTGGACCGCCCTCCCCCAGCCATCTCCAGCCATCCAGCCATGTGCTACTGCGGCGGCGAGTCGCTCAGGTAGGCCAGCCCAGGTGCAACGTGTGATCGACGACGTATATCCCAGGACTTGCCCCCGATGAATGGGTGCGCTGCGACACTCGCCTTATTTACCGCCGTTTGCTTGCCTCGCTGAAGGGACGACGAGCTCAAATGCGGCACATGCGGCCAGCTCTTCCATAATCGTGAGTATGCCGAAGCGTGGGAATTGGATAATAGGCAACGGGCATGGCTGATCGCTCCTTCTCCATCAGACTGCGTGCAATGTCTTCCTGGTCGTCAGCAACTCCGCGGAGATTGCTTCTACCAATTCAGGTGTCGCGCATGTACAGGCGGATTGGAAGAATATGAGCGACTGAATATGAGCTGGTAATGTTATCGCCCACCTGCAAGAGCGATCGCCTATTCAGTGCCAGAGGCTGCCTCGTTGCAATGACATCATTCAAGTCCAATGAATCGGTGACCACAACATGACTGACGATTGTGCTGGATGCAGGGTCCAGATCGTCTGGCTCAGTATATACAACATCGTCCAGTCCTCTCCCGGGAAAGAGTTTGTGCGTTGGAAAGAGGATATTTGCGACTTTATCGACCGAAACTGGGATTATATGCTGTCAGGCAAAACGAGTACGTCATGGATGGCAAAGGCATCCCAGCATTGCCGCAGCCTCAGACGAAGAGACTATTGGTGTCTCCGTTCCACGCGGATCTCATCATTATGCTCGCCTGTTTGCTGGTTTATGTGAAACTCGGTGCACTGACGGCTACCCTTGATCTGGACCCAGGAACGCCAACTTGGCAGAATACAGTTGCAAGCGTTTTGTCAACCCATCCAACACACTTCCTCTCCGGCTTTGATAAATACGCACAGTCAGGTATGGGCGACTACCAGCCGAAAAAAATGTAGGGGGCGGTGAAGCGGGTGAGTTGCCTCGAAATAACATTTCCCTCGCTCCAAGGATGGTGGACACTTCAACACATGACGCCCCCGCAACCCGGAACAAACAGAGCACCCAAACGCTCCAAAGGAGTAAGGGCACGCGGTCGATGGGCACAAGATGGATGGGCACATGGAGAATGTACCAAAGCCATCGAGGGCTTGCTTGGGTGTGTCCATGTCGAGCTTGGTAATAGTCAGCTTTAGCTTTCCAGGGAATTGGAATGGAGTAGTACGCATCTGACAGGTTCCCGCCCATCCACTTCACGTAAGATCACGCCGGTCCGCTCATCCGGAGGAAAGGTATATGGACTATATTGGTACCCAGGTGTTGGCGGCGTCAATGCGTATGGTTAATCGGTCGATGACTGCATAGGGTGCATGTGTTGTCCTAATTGATCCCATCCACTGTACATCGATAGGCGACTTCTAAAAGGTCCCAAAGAACGCAGGTTAGCGGGTTAGCGGGTTAGCTCGGTGCGAGTATTCTTCACGTATGGGTAATCTGGATATCTGCCTGTCCTCACTCTGCTCTTTATCCAAGGCGGATCAACTCAAGGAGACAAGCAAATCTTCGGATGACGACTGGGAAGCCTCACCAAAGCGGCCTCGTCAGGTAGGTCCAGACTCGCATTCCATGGACACAGTTGAAGTATAACCTCGAGTGCAGCAGCCGAGATAAACTTGATGCTCAACTGCGCTTATGATTCTCTTTAAGCGGAAAAACGCAGCCTCCGGTTCTCGACCGACAAAGGTTTCTGGGCGTGTTGTCTCCCCAGTCCTGTCGGACATGCAGGTGCGCTCCACCCTCCGCTCGTGGAAGCTAGGCCACTAAAATAAGGCCTCTCGAGCTCACTGCGATATGATCTACGGGAAAATTGGTGTCATTTCATTGCATGGACAGCCCCTATTCTTATGCGTCCTCTTCCTTCCCTTGCAACAACCCTCTGTTTGTACTATGCACATGACATACGCGCGTGCGATTCTCTTATTCGCTCTTGGAACGTCAACGAAGAAGCGTCCTGTCCCCGTATCGTCTTCTTCAAGCTCCTCGGATGACGAACCTGTGCCAGTTTCAAAGCAAGATGGCGTTGATCCAAACCAGAACTCAAAACTCGAAGCCAAAATCGATGGGATTGTGGATGCTAAGATTAGTTCCAGGTCGCCTCTCCAAAGTTCAGAAGACGTACAAGCCGAGGCCCTGCGGAAACTTGGATGTATAGAGAGGGACTCGCTAGTGATCGAAGCACCCGGCTGCTCGATACACAATCAAACGCCATCTATTCATGCTGCGGATACCTTGCGTTCTGGTGCTATACCACTGGAGCATCGACCGAGTCCATCAGCCGTCTTATTCAGCGGGGGATCTTCTCTCTCGGATATTACAAACGACAGCGAAGATTCTTCGGATACACTTGAGCACCATCGCGACTTTGCTCGGATCTCCGACGCCAAGTCCTCGTTTGGGGCCTCTTCAGTCGAGTCAAGAACAGCGATGCAACCCAGAAAGCGCGGTCGGCCGCGTGTGCACCCGTTACGTGACGATGCTGAGAAGTCTAGCAAAAGGAAAAAGGTAGTGGTTTAGAGCATATCGATGGGCCATGGCATCGAATGAGCCATGGCACTTCAAATTCAAGATCGATGTTGGAGGCGCAAAGCCTGACAGGCTACAAATCGGGAATATTAACCTGGGCCTCGTCTTGCCACGCTTTTCAAGCAGGGCGAGAGACGACTGCGCGTCATGGGTCTCATTGATGAGTTTCAAAGCATCCATCGTTTGGAGGTCGTTATGGAATCAGATACGGCCTCGCGCCGACTGTACAGAAAGCTAGCTTCGGCGCCTGAAGCGAGCCCAGAAGCTATCGCTGCTGAATATCGATGCTATCGTATCGAAGAGTGTCCGTGAGGAAAGCCAATTGCAGGCTATGCCGTGGGTCGAATCGTTCAGCGCCGTTGATGGGAAAATAGTGCCCCCGCCGGCGATTGATCCTCACAAAGTTGTAACGCGAATCAGACACCAGGTAAGACACCGTCTTCAATCCCGAACATACCATTGATCAGTCGCAACTACGTGTTGGATGCTCATTCGTCATCTTGGGCCGGAAGTCTATTTATGGCCAAAGCCATACCCCCTACCATCGATCGTTCATGTCACGACTGCTAGGCAGCGCTGGCGGCCGAGACACTTGGTCGACACAACAATCGTGGACGAGCTCCTATACAGGCAAAGCGCTAAAGCCTTTTATCTGGAGAGACTTTTCGTCTCGGCCAGCAACCATGCTTTTGTTCCACGAAATTCTTTCGAAGAGAAGCAGGTAGTGTGGCCAAGACAAACTTGCTTTGTACTGATGTACTGACGTGCTGATGTGCTGATGTGCTGACGTGCTGATGTGCATCTCCTCGCCTCATAACACATGCCAACTCCTGCCTGCAGCTATCAGGGGGAAATTTGGAAATGTGTCGAGAAAGACAGCATCGACTATGTGTACTTTTCCAGAGAGCACCTGGTGCAGGTCAACAGCATTTTATCGGTAATATTCTGGCCTGGGATTGATGGTACGTTTGGCCTCAAATCGGCAGCTGATGACCACTGAGTTCACAACCTTGATCCATCTCACGGGAACAGGGGTGATTGTGGATGGCTTACGTCAATGGATCGATTTCACTCTTTCCGCAGTCTCGGAAAATCTAACTTGGCCAGACTTTGGTGTGGTTGCCCTCTACAAGCGTCTCGTCGTTGGCTGTGCGCTCATGACTCCCGAGTTTTACTTGACGTACATTGCTGTCCGGCCTGGCTGGGAGCATGCCCGGAATTGGCAGGTTGGTCTCAGGTCGAAATACAGCACATCAGGATGGGCGCCTGTCGGTCAGATCTAACCAATATGCCACGATAGATTTATGCTCTATCATCTAATTCAGGTTTGTTGCACTGTTTGATTGCACTGTTTGATTGCACTGTTTGATTGCATCGAGGTGGCCGCCGCCGATTCCAGGTCACTGCGAGCCACCGTGCCTGCCTTTATCCGGCCACCACGACCGCCTGGCCTCATTCACGCCTGTGGCTCTCGTAGGCAGCCGGAGGGCGAGACATCACCCTTCATGTGTCCGCTGGCAATCCCGCGATGCTCCTGTATCAAAGTTCGGATTCAAGCCCGAGGAGTTCATTGTCAACTTCTACGACCAATACCTGCCGCCGGATTCGCGCGAATGCAAGAACGCGTTCTTTCTGCGCCTGCGCCGCTGATTGGACGGCGGGCCGGACTGCAGCCGCTGCGCATGCGCAGACAGATCCACAGAACCCCGCCATGGCACAGAACCTCGTCGGTGGCAGAAAAACGAGCCGGTCCTTGGGTCTGGGTGCGATCGCCGCACGCCATCTCGATCGCCGCAAGTCGCCTCGATCGCCCCGCATCGCCAAGCAGAGCGCATCTTGTGCAAATACACCCTGCCATTCCAACCATGTCGCTCTTGCGCTCTTTCACCGCAACGCCACTCGGCCGACTGGCCATGCGACCCGCTCCAGCCAAGATGGCCGCCCCAGTGGTAGGCGTCCATGCGGCTGTCCTTACGAGCTCGGTCGGGGGTCTCGGATTTGCGCACGGTCGAGCATGGTATAAGCGGTATTGATGCAAACAAAAGACGAGTCGGTGTGCTGACCAGAGTCTTGCGGATCACAGTGGAGCCAAAGCCAACGAGCCTGGAACCACACGCCGAGTCAGAGCTCGGCCGCCATGAAACGGTTTTGGAAAAAGGCCGATGTCCGCGGCGAGCCTGGTAGGATATATTTACAGAAAGGAATATACAGCCATCCAAGGCAGAGAACGAGAAGGAGAGATATGCACTCCACTCCATATCTGCCACTGGTTGATTTATCGGGATCAATGCCACGAGAAGCCCCGTTGGGCACTCGATACTTTGTACTGGCGTTTCGTTGTGGTGGATGAAGCTCCCATCAGCGATGCGGCGCAAACCTCGTCATCACCAAGCGACTGTTGATCCGTTTGATTAATCCGCTATCGATTGCATGCGACCCAGAGGGATACTACATACTGCTCGACGGACGAAAGCTGAAGACACCCGAGGGCAAGCCTGTCGTGATCCCAAGAAACAAGCATCTCTTGGCCTATCTCGTTGCTGGCGAGTGGGAAAGTCAGGAAAAAAACCTCAAGAGCTATTCCCTTCCATTGGTACAGTCAGATAGCTGGTTGCTTGCACCTGGAAAGCTGACTGGCTAGCTCTTGGCCATTATGCCATTCAAGATACTGACCCACACCGCCAAGGCCGAACGCCAGCCTGGATCCAAAGCACCATCAAAGCCCAAATCATCCCAGAAGAAGAAATCATCTACTGACTGTTGCCGACGCTTCTACCCACCCGCTCTAGACCTCCCTTGTGGTGAGATCCATCGATTCTTTCTCCGATCCAAGCATTCGACAGGGTGTCATCGATAACCTTCTGCGATATTGCCACACCGACTCTGTCTGGTGAGCTGTGCGCTCTCTCTCTCCTTCTCGTTCAAACCATAGCGGGGGAGGGGAGGTGAGTACTGGCGGATAGAGAGTGGTAGTTCGCATGGATATTGGCGAATACCAATGAGGAATTCGATACAGAGTTCGTGCCTAAGCTGATACTTTTGGCGTCTCCAGCTACTTCCAGGACTATCCTGATTCGTTTGTAAAGGCTCAAAACCAATACTGGCGAACCGTTGTCCAGTGGGTTGAGACAGAGTACAATGTCAAAGTAACCACAACCGATGGTATTATGAGTGCCCGCCAATCGCCCGACACGGTTGCCCAGCTGAGGTCGATTATCGAGGGCTTTGATAATCTGTCGTTGGCCGGTATGTTGCTCCGCCATTGCTGTCGCATATATATATGTTCGTCCCGAATGCTGCTGCTGCTGCTGGTCGATATGGCAGACTCGATCATAATCAATCGATACAATTGGTAAACCGCCTTGGCTAATCTCACGAATGCGTTGTCTCATTTGAAGCGTTCGAGCGGGCTGTTTTGCATTCCAAATCGTTTTTCTTGGCCCTTGCTCTGCTCAGTCGCAAGATCGATTGTGATTTTGCTGCTAGAGCCGCGCGTCTGGAAGTATGGGAGCAAATTCGACTCTGGGGTGAAGTGGAAGACAGTAAGTTGGTTTGATCGTTGGATATCGCAGATCTGGAGGCCCAAGGCGAGATGGACGAGCAGCCACGCGCCTTCAGCGAGTTTGGGTTGGCTCTAGCTACCGAGGGCTCTGTGCCAGCGCGGTATGATTCTGTTGCTGTCACTATCTCGGGTCGATCTCATGGGATAACATGCGCTCGATTGATATTGTACTCCAGGCCATGACCTGGACGAGCAAGAGATGAAGCGCCAGCTTGGAGCTGCCACATGCGCGGCGTTGCTCCAGTGACGATCGCTTCGCCCTGCGAGCCGAGGCTATCGATACAGTGTATGGACATGCGTGACTTGGACGGCCCATCTCGATCGAAAATAAGACTTGTATGATCAACGGCTTGCATACCGATCCAGCACCAATCGCAGATGCTCATGAAAGCTGCATCAGCCACGAATCAGTCATTAGATTAGTCGACAATGAAGCCAGTCACGATGCGGTCTTCCGCTCGGTCTTCCGCTCGGTCTTCCGCTCGGTCTTCCGCTCGGTCTTCCGCTCGGTCTTCCGCTCGGTCTTCGGCTAACATACCGCCGCCAGAGTACTTCGTTATGATCCAGAGCCGAAGGCGCCAGGGCTTCGGGCCCAGGACTTTGAAATAGTGCCGAAAGGTTGTCGCGACCAAATGACCGTGTCCTGAAGCCCAACAAGGAATCACCCAGCGCAAAGGCGAGCGATTCCTCGACCATCCATATGCTGAATCCGCCAGGCGTGGATCCAAGCATTGCAACCAGATCGCAGAATGAGGGGAGCATGGACAATGAGCCTTGCATTCCCGACACATGTCGAGCTAACTGTTATGGAGGCACGAGCCCGTGACAGCTACCATACCTGATCAAAGCATCATCAAGCAAGGTAAAACCTCGCTGACAAAGCTAAGGAAAACGGCGGATGAGTCCTGACGGCATTGGCTGTCTGCAGCACAAGAAGCAGCAGCACCTGGGCATGGGCTTTTGCGAGTCGCACCAGCGTCTATTTAACATGGCGTCGAAGCACGGTACCGTTGGGTATGATGAGTGGACAGCTGCCCCACTGGCAACGAGTCAATCGGCGCGGACGATGCAAACAACGCAACGATGGCTACAAACTTGGATGGTGTTGAAGGCTGGCTCGTATCCAATATGGACACTGCCCAACGATCTCCGCAGAGCCGAGAAGTATGACTGAAAGAGCCCTTGGCATTCGGTTGAAAGTCTGGGTGACAACAGCAATCAGATGCGTCGGGCGGATGCCAGAAGGGGCTCGGAGCAAGTGGAAACAACGTGCCTCACTTGAACCTTCGACGCTGCGTGCAAATACTGGAAGGATGGGACCAAATCTGTCAAGTTCCGCAGACTACTAATAGCGAGTGTAACCCACTAGAAACTACCTCCACCAATTCCTCGCCAAAGGCTCGTTCTTGTGCCGTTTGAGTGTGAATGCTGCGCCGAAGGGTGGCGGCCGATAGCTCCGCGTCGTGTCGTGCGTCGCTTGCGGCCAATTGAAGTGCTATCGAAACGTCGAATTTGCTGAAACAAATTCATGAGCATCAGCTGTCCCACAGAGTCTGCTGCATTCATCTGCACATCGCTCACCCGGCAATAGACTGTATTGGCCGGGGGATAGAGAGTGAAGACGAGCACTGGGGTGGGTCGCGTTCCTGCAGAGTATATGTCCCCCACACGGCACAGTCGGCCGTCACTTTCAGCTCGGTTGAGCGGGTCGGAAAGGGCCGTGTGACAGCGTTGTTCATCACTGCGCAAGCCATAGAGTCAACCGCTATTCTGCTGGAGCAACAGAAACAACAAGGGATCGAAGTACCATTTGAGAGCTGAGAAAGCTCCTGACTCTTCAAGCCGGCGAGCGGTACTAGCAATATCCCGCCTCTGGCATAGCACAGCGGGCCCGCTGGAGGCAATACGATAACGATTCAGCGCTAATCCCGAGAAGCCCTTGAAGGCGAGTGGTGCAGTTGTATAGCTCGCTTACCTCGGACATGGCAAGTTCCATCAGGCTTCTGCTCGGTACTCCACAACGACTCACGCTTGCCATCATACCCGCATTTCCAGGTAGAAAACCTGTAGCAACGACAGGCAACGGGCTCAGAAAGACCCAGCGGAGCGGCCAAATGGGACTGAATATACACACCGTTTAACACGGCCAGCAGCGCCGAGGAGATCTGAAAGCAGGGGCTCCTCGGAGCTGGAGACAATAAGAACATTGATTCTATCTCGCTGGGGAGAATCCTGGAGCATCGAGGATTTTGGATCTGCAACAGAAACAATGCTGGCGATCCGAAAGCCACACTGCTGGCGATCAGTCGATGGCAGCGTCGCAATGCCAACATTGTTTGCAGATCGATTCAGCTGCGACCAGCGAACCTGAGCAACAGGGTGAGTTTCAACCTTGTCCATAGCGACGGCGGAACAATAGTAGCACAGAATCGGTCGGCAAGCCACTGAGTAAAGGCAAGCGGAGCCAGTCTCAAGCTCATTTCCCGAATGAGCGAATCATCTCGGCCATGAGGGCCGCTGACGGCTGCTGGCATCGATCGAGGTGGCTATCATAGATCGTGGCGATAAGCTTGGGCGTTTGCAGCGTTTCAACTGGGTAGCAAGTGCACATACCCATGATATCAACCGAGCCGATTCAATCTGAAATGTGGGAACCGACAGGTGAACCGGGACCTCGTGAGATACGCATTTCATGGGATTTGCTGCATCGTACCAAAATACAGCAGCCGTGGGCATGCTGTGCATCCTTGAGGGGAAGTGGGTCGAGCCAACCCCGGTAGGCAGTTGCCGTGAACACACAGCGATCACCTGGCCGCTCCGACGTCATCAATATTCTTGTGAGCGTTTGCGTCGGAAACAACGCTGCCAGGAAAGAGCCCCTCACCAACTTCGAGAAAATCGCTATGGTCATCTGAAAGAAGGAATGTTACATGCGAAAATAGACATCGATGCCAAAGCTCGATTACTGTTCATTGTAATCGCTTCCGTCTCACAACCACTGAAACGCACCTCTGATACTGACGGTCAGTGCTTGAAGGTGCCGTCAGAGGCGGAAACTTTTGTGTCAATTCCGACTGGCGGATGGGAGGCGACGATCTGGGTCGATGCAGACGACATTTGCTGGGGGATGCTGCAAGGTACGCCATACCGCTGACGTTGCCGTCGGCTTCGGTCACTGTGGCTTCTCCTGGCCGAAGTACTAAAACGTCAAACATAGCAGTTGAGCATGGGAAACGATCTAAATAATATAATTTGAGGCATAGAGGCACGTTGGTACGATTTCTACCTAGGACGACTTGGTCGAGAGGGATTTGATCGAGATTGCTTCCACAACGTGAGCAAATCAAGTCCAAAGCATGAAGGGCAAAGCTGATCTCACATATCAATTGATGAATACACATGGCGTCGCTCAGAAGCATGCTGTCTGTTAGCACGATAGCGATCGGATACCTTGTTGAGGTTTTCAAGTGTGCTCCCGACCACGATCTCTTGAATACTCGTTTGCCTGACGCCCGAGGCAGATATATCCTTTATGGTAGCGCAAAGTCAATGGGTGCAAGATGCAAGGTGCGTGACCCAGACACGATCGTTGGCGACCCAAATATACTTGCAAATGATCCGGACAGCGGCACTTGGGGTTCTGGCATTCGTACGTTTGGCTGATTCTGCTGTCATATTCAGGTTATGTGTCTGCATCGCACAAATTCGTGTCCAACGGTGCTTCGGAGTGCTCTTGACATACATTCTGATGGACTCAACACCAAGGCACGACAGTACTGCTGTGAAGCAGAAGCGTTGCGAGTGACCGCGAGCCCTGTGGAGCCTGAGGCTCGATCTCAGCTCCGATGCAATGTTGGTGGGGTAGAACCTGCATGGAAGCCATCAGCTTGTGACTAAGAAGCCAGATACACTGCCATATTGTGAATACAACCAACAGCGTACTCGTTGCAAACCGGAAGTGCTTCAATCGAGACAGTGGTGTGAATTTGTTCCGGAAAGAGGTCATCGTTGTCAACTATCAGAATTACTGCGCTTGCTGATTGCTCAGGAGCATTCGAGAGAGCGGTGAGGACCCAATGCCAAGAATGCAAAGAGAATGATTCAAAGTAAGTATTTCTAAAGGTTGATCAAAAGGAGGGGGTCATTGATACCGCGAGCGACTTTGAGAACACCAATCGCCCACAGCCGATGCCACAACAGGACTAAGACGAGATATGTGTGGATTACCCGCAGAGGCGATTTGATCCAGCTCATCTGGATGCCATGAAACTATTTCCGTGGCGAGGGGAGCTGTCGGGCCACATAAGCAATCTCGACATCGTTTGATGGGCATTTTGAGACTCAGGAGACCACAAACCATCAAAACTGATCACATCGGACAGGCTCATCCGAAGAGCGACTTGGACATAGCGCCGCTTGGATTGAGTCTTTGGCAGTGACGGCAGCGTCAGCGTCGCCAACCATAGATGCTTTCACCCTCCATTGGCGCGTACCGACCTCCGATTTTCTCCTCTCGGATCGAAGAAGCGCCCGAGTGTGATCATCAAGGTGGTACTCTCTGAAAACTGCTTCAGCATCAGCGTTAGCCTTCATCAAGGAATCTCACGGATAATATAGTGATAGCTATCCTACATTGCACGAGTGCTTGAAGAGTGTTTCGTGGGGTGGATCGAGGAGGAACTAAGGAGGCCCGAGATAACCATGACGGTAGTTAGATGTGACAGTTCACAGTAAGTGTGCGAGAAGGACGTCTGACCTCCATGATCGAAGGCATCGAAGCTGTATTCGGCCGCGCGAATCGAAACAGGGGTCGGCGGTGCTTGAGTTGTGGTTTCCGGAGAGACAATAGCAGGACTGATGGAGTGTCTACGAAGAGGCGACGACCCTTTCTGCTCAGCCAACAGCTCGGAAATCAATGAAAGCACCAGTGATGACGAACCGCATGATACACCGAGGTAAGGTCGACCAATTTGACGATGTCATGACTTGGAAGCTGAACATGGTTCTAATATAGCTTCATCTAGAGTCTAGATCACTGCCAGATCATCTCCAGGTCATCTCCAGGTCATCTCCAGGTCACCGCCAGGTCATTGCCAGTCGAGCCAAAGTGAGCTGCCATGCTCCATCCACATCTTATGAACTGGAGCTGAATGTTCGTTGAAAGCATGGAGAGGCGGTGGGTCAGATTCCACAGCCGATTTGCAGTGTCTTCGACAGAGCGCCGCTCCACCGACTGCAGGACGCCTCTCCCGCCATGGGCTGTTGAGGACATACAAATCTCGATCTCCACTCGAGGAGAAGCACGGAATCTGTCGTATATTAAAGGGATCAAGCCCGGTGATTATGGAAAGGGGGAGGGGAGAGAGTTTCTCAGGGAGAGAGGGTTACATACTGCAATGGGTTTGGGTGATGAGGGATTGCGCTTACAGTCTATCCAGAAATAAACGGGACAGTCACTTTCTGGCTTCAGAAGCCCGCTGACTGACTGTAGACCCAGCGGGCAGGCCGTGAGTTTTTTCCCGTCCTGTTTGGCAATCTCTTTGATTTCGTTGGTTTCGGGAGCATGGTCTTGAATACACCCGGCCGATCTCCTGTGGTGATGATCGACTGGCATACCGAGATCATGTTCCTTGAGGCATTGATGTCTCGATGTGTGAGTGTGGTGGATGCATTCGACCCTCTGCACAGCTTCATGGTTTCTCGATATCAAGATGCTCGGGTGACTCAAGTCGCTTGGCATCCCGGCAGTGTGAGCACACCTGGGATGTGTTGAACTCGTTCACCGAGCACACATGGATCTTGGAGACGGATCGATCTGGTGGTCGTCTCTGGTGGTGGTGGAATTGCTCAAAGTACTTGGCAAACCTGAGTCTTCTGGGACTGGAGGCATATCCCTTCCCTTGCTTCCAGGAGGCATTCCCAAAGGCAATCACCAATTCGGTCTCCTTTGGTGCCTGGTCGATGACTTGCTTGCACATCTCGTGGACAGTGCGCTGTCGCTTGCTGTGGAGATCGAGTCGCTTGAATCGCCGTCGCCGGGTCAGGCTGAAGTACAGCTGTTTGTCCAGCATGTCTCCATCGAACACATGGCAAATTTATCGCAGGAAGGAAGCCAACCCAGGGATCTTGGGACTTGGTGTGGCACTCATCCAGCGCATCTCGAGCTGGAAGCGATTCCCACAATGGCGTCCTTGATTCAAATCACAGAATGGTCATGGCCAGTGCGCGATTATATTGGGTAACAAAATATTTGATCAATCGTCAAAAACACGGATGTCCCGATTGCGATTAGTGGCCCCAACCAGCCTGGACGGCGTTCAAAAGCTCGCGCTGGTAGTCTTCGGAAAGTTCCCAGAACATGACACCGCCAGCACCTTGAGCCTTGGCCCAGGCAGCCTTGGCTTGCAGCGACTGGGGATCGTCATAGGAAATGAATCGGCCGGTGCTAGTCTCGTACAAGCTGGGGGACTGGGCAAAGTCGTGGTACTGGCGAGTGTAGCCGGAGCCAGCGGTGGTGGGTCCAGAGAGAACACCCTGCTTGCGCAGGTTGAGGTACATCCAGACTCCAGATTTGTATGTGGCACCGCAGGGATCAGTCCAGTCCGCATCGAGCTGGTCACCAGGAGGCGCAGGGCAGGCCTTGGGCTTGCTGGGGTCCTGCTTCTGGCCGTTGGCAAGGTTGCCACACAGTTGGTACAGACCGTTGTTGCTGCCCTTGGCGGAAGCGATCCAGGAGCGGCCGTAGAAAGCAAGGCCGACGACCAGCTGGCTCGGAGAGACACCTTGGCCGACAAAATCCTTGAAGGCGTTGGCAATGCTGAAGACCTGGTTGTTCTGGAGGTTTGCCTTGGGCTGGCTGGGGTCTTCGTTGAGAGGAGCGTTGAAGTCGGTGTATGGGACCCAGGAGCCATAAAAGTCGTAGCTCATGATTTGGAGGTACGAGAGATGCTTCATGTAGCTGGAAACATAGTTTTTGCTGCCGACATTGTAACGGAAGGAGGCACCGGCAGAGGCGATCGAAAGGATGCGGTTAGGACCCAAGGCGCTGCGGAGATCGCCAAGGAGGGTTTCGAAGTTGATGGCATCGTTGGGGTCGACAGTGTTGCAAGGAAGGCCACCGCCTCCGGGGTACTCCCAGTCAATATCAATGCCATCGAAATGGAACTTGTTGACAAAGGCGATGGCCTTGGAGACAAAGTTGGCACGGGCGGAAGAGCTCTTGGCGACGTTGGAGAAGTGGACCGAGCCAGACCAGCCACCGAACGAGACGACCGTGCGGAGGTTGGGGTTCTTCTCGCGGGCAATGAAGTTGAGGTTGTAGATGCCCTTGTTCTTGCCGGTGTAGGGGTCAATGTCCATCTGCTGGCCACCGGTGCCAAAGTCAGCCCAAGCATCGAAGCTGGCAATGTCGCCATTGTCCAGGACGTTGAAGAAGGCGTAGTTGATGACGTTGACACCTGTCAGGTCCACGACGGTGGGACCGTTCTGGGGGCGGCTGTACATGGCCCAGTTGGGCCAGTAGCCAACGACACCCACAGGCTTGGGGGCATTGCGGGGGACAAAGGAAGGGGTGCCCGAGGGAGCGGGACCAGCCGTTGTGGTGGCGGTTGTCGTGGTGACAGTGGTAGTGGTGGTCTTGGTCGACTTGGCGGTGGTCGTGGTGGCGGAAGAGCTAGGGGTGGTCTTGGTGCTCACAGCGGAGGTGGTCTTGGTCGACTTGGTCTTGGTGGACTTGGTCTTGGTGGACTTGATCTTCTTTGTCTTGGCCGACTTGGCCTTCTTGGACTTGGTCGACTTGGCCTGGAGAGCAAAGTCTTCGGCGGGCAGGTTCTCGACGGCGTCGGTGGAGGGCACGCAGTCAATGTCGTCCTCGGTTGTTTGGCGGCAGACGAAGCCCTCCTGGCAGGGGACGACGACCTTGGTTTCGCCATTCAGGAACGAGAAGGAGACACCATTGCTTTCACAGGTCAGCGGAGTCTGGGCGGAGGCACTAACCAACGCGGAGCCAGCCACGAAGGAAAGGAGGGTGAGGGCGGCCGTCTTGACGAGCATCTGATCGGATCGAGGGCGAGACTGGTGGTGGGGAATGGTGAGGACGGGGCCAGCAGCAGGCGGATTTATAGGACAGCGACGGGCTCGAGGTGCTGCCGGGCCAGCGAGGCGGCCATGGATGAACGACAAGGGCCAGACAAAGCCCGACCATCCCACCGATGTACACGCGAGTGTGCACGAGGGCACGAGCCGCGCCTCACGAGAGCGCCGAGCAAGGACACCAGCCGATGCGCGGTGGCTCAAGTACATCCTTGTACTCCATTTTTTTCTTTCCGAGCCATCGCCTTTCCTCTTGCAGTCGCACAGGCGGCCACTGCCGAGCAAGGGGGCTGGGTGCACCGCCGTGAACCTGCTGTACATGGACTTGCTGAGCAGGGTCCTTGCCTCTTCTGTGTCACCGAGGCTGCTCTTGAGGGAGCCACGGGTCGCCACTCCCTGTCCAAAGAGGTGACGAAAACGGCTGCAAGGACAAGAGGACAGGGGTGACAAATTTGCAAGAAAGTTGCAGAAAGGTGCTGACGGACGCGCCGCGCTACAAAACCTAGTTCTCGGCATCCAGAGTCAGGGCCGATTGTGTTGCAGGAGGGCCGGCCAAACCTTTGCCTTGCCCACGCTGTTTTGCAAACCGCATCGATGATCGGCCGAAGCTCGGGCCAACCCAAACTCCCAACCTTGGCAGGACTACACTTTGGCGCATTCGGATTGAAACAGAACATCCAGGGATTTGATACAACTTGCCCAATTGAAACAGGACGATGGATTGTGTCGATTGAATGAGGTTGGTCGGTCGCCAAGCTGGGCGATACGCATTGCACTGTATTCAGGGGAAAATGGGACACCTGCCCACAACCCATATGTCAGCGTAGCATACTATGCCATGCGTCTAACTATGCCATAAAAAATAGAACATATCACTTTGGCAGCCTCCGAGTGAAGACCTCCAGTCGCTCTCCAGTCTCCTCAATCGATCTGGACGGTAATCATGTTGTACGTCGTATTGGCGGCGATGGTGCTCGAACTGCTCAATGTACCGAGCAAGCCCCTGCCTCCGAGGACTGGGTGAATAGCCCTTGCCCTGTCGCCATGGTGCATTGTCAAAGGTAATCACTACCTTGGCATCCTTGGACATATTGTTTGCCCATGGTTGGAATGTGCGTGTGTATTCAGGTCCCGGAAATACCAATAGTTCTGGCTCGACACAGGTATCCCGTTTCGTTTTGGAGACTCTTAGAGGCACAAAAATAGCTGTAACGCCAGGCTTGATAGCTCCACCAGATGCCCGACCCTTGGATTTACTTCTAGGCACTTGATTGTTAGCGGCTTGGTCTTTGGGAGCCCATGATCGAGGAAGACTAACGCAGGTGAAGAACAAGGGGAATGATTTGGTGCTGGGGACCACGAGTCCATTGTCAGAGGCATGATTGCGCTCGCTGGAGCACGGAGGGAACAAGAGCCAAGCGAGGCAACATGGGCCAGATAACCAACCTGTAAGGAGTGAACAAGCGCAAGGACGAAGACCAAGTGCTTGGTATGAGCTTTATTAGCTTTTAGCCCCGAACACCAAAGAACAAGTTTTGTTCGAACTGGTGTTCAACATAGGCTCAGACATGCAGGGCTATTTATAGACCGGGAGAAGGTCGAGGGGCAAAAGTGGGCGAGAAGGGTGGAGCATCACAGAGAAGCGAGAAGGGGGTGCGAGAGTGGCTGGTGTGCAAGCGAGAGAGGCTTGGCACAGCCCGGGGACATGTGCCGAGCGGTGGGGGAGGCAGGAAACCAGTAGACGCGGGTGGCAACGGCGCGTGCTCATGCATGGGGGCAAACAAACACGTGGGGACTCATGATTGGTGCGGAGGGCGAGAGCATGCGGGACAATCTCATTGGTCCGTTGTGATGCTGGTCATCACACTATCTCCTCCTTAAACTACGGCGTGTTCCATCTTGAGTTCTCCTGGGGCCAGGCTTGTCTGGGTAGCGTCGGTGGTACTCCGCGGCCACCGTTGGGGCAAAGACAATGTCGGCGGGCTCCCAACTTCGATCGGTGACCGGGTAGCCTTTCCAATCGATGAGATAGTGCAGCTTTCCGCGCACGAACTTGGAGTCTAAGATCTCTTCGACCTCCCACTCCAAGTTCCCATCGATGACCACCGCAGGGGGCGGCGCTTGCACCCGACCCGGAAGCGAGTTCTTCTTGTAGGGCTCAAGAAGAGACACATGGAACACCGGGTGCACCTTTATGTCCTTTGGCAAGTCCAGGCGGAAAGCCAATGTCCCGACGGCCTCGAGGATGGTGAATGGTCCAATCCTCTGGTAATCCAGCTTCTTGCTTGGGCGAGTGGTGCTGATGTTACGAGTCAGCACCCAGACTTGATCGCCCGGACGCAAGTCGGGAGCCTGGGACCTCCGGAGATCTGAGAAGTGCTTGTAGTCAGACTTTGCCTTCTCAAGATTCTCCTTCAACAGTGCCAGGTTCCGCTGGAGATGTTCAACCCTCTCCGTGGCAGAGGGAACATCAGGGCCGCCAGCGACAACGGGGACTTCGAACCTTGGGTGGAACCCATAGGTTGCCAAGAATGGCGAGGCATGTGTTGACGAGTTCTCGAGGTTATTGTAAGAGAACTCGGCCAACGGCAGCAGCTCGGCCCAGTCATCTTGCTGATACGACGTGTAACAGCGCAGGTATTGGTTGATGACCTGGTTGACCCTCTCAGTCTGTCCATCGGTCTGGGGATGGAAGGCCGTGGACAGACTGGTTTGGATCCCGAGCTGCGTGCAGAGTGCCTTCCAGAACCGAGAGGTGAACTGACTTCCTCGGTCTGAAACCACTGTGTCGGGGAGGCCATGGAGACGAAAGACATTGTCGAGGAACAGTGACGCAGTCTCCTCCGCCGACGGCAGTGAACGCCAGGACATAAAGTGTGCCATCTTTGTGAGGCTGCATACCACCACAAAGATGCAGGTGTGACCCTTGGACTTTGGCAGATCAGTGATAAAGTCCATGGTCAGTGTCCCCCAGGGTCGATCGGCTGTCTGGAGTGGCAACAGGAACCCAAACGGCTTGTGTCGCGGAGCTTTCGAGCGTGCACAGGTGTCGCACGTCGAGACGTACTCTTTGACATCTTTCCGATAGGTTTGCCACCAAAACTGTCGCGATACCAGAGCCAGAGTCCGTCGGATGCCTGGATGACCCACAGCGACTGGGTCATGGCACGACTTGAGCGCCGGAACTCGGCACGACTCTGGGACCACAATCCTGTTCTGGAAGGTGAGGTACTGGCCATTCCAGACGAACTTCGGGTCACGACGGTATTTGTCTAGACCGGGATCCCGAGCCTGCTCTTCGGCTATGAGCTGCAGCAAATCCACAGGGTCACTGCGACTTGCAACCGAAGAGCGGGCGTCTCTGCTTCGGAGCACGCGTATCACCGCGGCAGGATCGAGAAGCAGAGGCGGATCCCTCGACACGGAGGCCGACGAAGGGATGTAGTCCGAGCGACGAGACAGGGCATCGGCCTTGCCGTTCCTCGCACCAGGACGGTACTGGATGCGGATGTCGAACCGAGACAAGAACTGGGACCACCGTGCATGACGCTGGTTTAGGATGCGAGCCGTTGCCAGGTACTCCAAGTTCTTGTGATCGGTCAGAACGGCAACGGGATGCTGGGCGCCTTCGAGGTAGTGTCGCCACGCCTCGAAAGCCTCCTTGATCGCCAACAGCTCTTTCTCGTATATGCTGTAGTTACGTTCAGCATTCGAGAGTGTCCGCGAATGGAACGAGCAAGGATGAAGGCGATCATCAGCACCCCGCTGGGAGAGCACGCATCCAAGCGCAAAGTCCGACGCATCTGACTCTACGACGAACGGCTTGGATGGGTCCGGATGCACCAGAACGGGCTCCGAAACGAAGGCATCCTTCAAGGATCTGAATGCTTTATCGGCTTCGCGGGACCACTGGAAGCCATGCGTCTTCCGGAAGAGCCGAGTCATGGGCCCCGCGATCTTTGCGTATCCATCGATGAAGCGTCGATAGAAGTTCGCAAACCCGACAAAGGATCGAAGATCCGAGATGTTGCGCGGTATGGGCCAATCCAAGATCGCAGAGAGCTTGGATCGCTCCATACCGATGCCCTCGGGCGAGACCATGAAACCAAGGAACGAGACCGAGGTTTTGGAGAACTCGCACTTCTCCAGCTTGCAATACAGCTTTGCAGCTCGGAGCTTCGAGAGGACCTGCTTGACGTGCTCTACATGCTGCGACGGATCAGCACTGTAGATCAAGATATCGTCAAGATACGCAATTGCGAACTGGT